TCACAGCTTTGGAGCACTTGTTCTTAATATGTCAAAATGAATGCTTCAGACGTTGGGAAAATGACAAGACCCTAGATGTTCGTTCAAGTCACCCAAAGAAAGTGCTATCAAGTGTACAGAGTTGCTATGCAACACAGGAAAAGAGGCTCTGGAACAAGGCAGCTTTTATTGATAATAGGTAGGTTGAGGGTACAATTTTGGAATACAATATGGGGAGCGATGCCCAGATCAACGTGGATTGCCGCTTGCCAGACAATTATTGGATCCCCCTGGATTCTTCACTTCCACGATACAGAAACTTCTGGTAACTGCGTTTTGGTCCCAGAAGTTACCTATCGCCCGCAAGCGGCGCAGAAATCTCTGCTTCGCAAACTCTTCGCTAGAAGCGCACAGCCGCAGCGCGTGAGCGTACGAGTGAAACGCGGTGGCCTCAAGACAACATATCCGCTCGCTGTCGCCAACAATAATTTCGTTGCCGTGGGGAATCTGGGTGTTTGCTGCTGCTTTGACGGCGACTGACATTTCCTTGCTTCGAGCATTCCGAACTGCCTTCAGACATTTCTGACACCTTCACAGCAGCATCGCTTCCACTGCCGTGGTTCTTGGCTTGCTCCACCTTGGTATTCCCGACCAACTGACAGACGTCCATCTTGCTCCTGTCCCTCGTGACTCGCTGCGCGTTTTTTGCCGTCTTACGAGTGCATCGCAATTCACCTTCAGCTGGTTTCCGTGCCAGCAGCTGCTCACTTCTTGTCAGTTTTCAAGCAGCTGCTATACTGTCAAGTTCGGCACCGAAGAATAATAACTAGGACGAGATTCCAGGCTCGCACTTCGCGAATTTCGTTAGTGCAGCTCAATTTTTCCCCAGCGTCGCTAATCGCATAGCTAGAGGGCCTATAAATGGCTTGCGACTCGGAGAAAGATTTCTTATCCGTGCGGATCGCATTGCTCTTCGCATCGCTCGCGCTGGTCGGCCTGCGGCCAGCATTCGTGCTCGCCGCCACGGATCCCGCTCAAGGTAAGGCTCTCGTCGTCGCCTTCGGCTATTTCATTCGCGACTGTCAGATAGGAGCGCGGCTCGACGTTTTCGTCCAACGGAAGACAAGCGCTTCGTTCAATCTTGAGCCTCAAATTTCGTCCCTTCCACTGCCCTCCCACGCCCGAAATTCCAATCTAACACACGTACATAGCCTTCTTTCCCCATAAAACCATACACCTCGCCTCATGCCCAAGTCCATCACAACACAACCGCCCTCGTCCCTCGCAGCATCACTGTTAGCATGCACTCCTCACACGCCGTTTAGCACTCAGCAGCGCCGATCCACGCGTACCACCGTACGCCAGTCACCGGTGCGCGATGCCCGCGATCATGCGCGCCTCATCGCATCCATCCCCTCCCCCCTCCCCCCCCACCCCACGCTCCTCTTCCGCCCTGTAGTGGCGGCGCTGCGGCAGGTGGCGGCGGCAGTGGGACGGCCCGACGAGCTGCCGTTCAACGCGTGGGCGGGCGACGACCCGTGCGGGCCGGACGCGCAGAGCTCGTGGGCGGGCGTGCGGTGCGACGCGGGCGGGGCGTACAACGTGGTGACGGAGCTGTGAGTCCCGCCGGGGGGAGGGAGAAGGGGGGCGCGGAAGTGGCCTTGGGGGGCCTGCGCTGTGAGTCATGTGGGGGGCCGTTGGTACACGCGATTCTCCACCATTTCCTATCGAGGTGGTGGAATTCGTGTGGTGCGAGGGGTTCGGAGAGGGTGCGCCGTGCGCTCAAACCGTGGCTGGACCCGTTGCTGTGCGCGTGGCGTGTTACCGTGGCTCAAACCGAGGGTGCGCCGAGCGCGCGTGCATCAGCGGCAGGGTCGCGCAAGCGAAGACGAGAACCTGAGGGTGAAGGAGCGGTTGGGGCCTAAGGGATTGCAAGGGGGGGGGTAAGAGTGTGCGACTGCACTACCAGTTCACGACGCAAAAAAGGCAGCTTCCTCGCAGCCCCCAGCGGCATTCTTCTTGTCCGCCTTGCTCAAACCGTCTCCACGGTTCCCCATTCACTTGCGCCCTCTCAATGGTCATCTCCACCCCGCATTCTCCCCCTTTCGCCACCACCCGTCTCCCCCTCTCTCCCGCTTATCTCTCCTCCCCCTCCCCCTCCAACCACCTCGTCCCCTTCCCCTCTCAACAGCGATCTACAGGACGCGCGTCTCACGGGCGACCTGCCCGCCGCCGTCTTCGACCTCACCGCGCTGCGCTTGCTGTCAGTCCCGCCCCCCTCGCCTTCCCCCACTCCCCTCAACCCCTCTCCACATCTACCCGCTGCTCCCAGTCGCTCACGCCACTTGCTCGTCGCCCAGAAGAGTCCCAGAGAGTCCCAGAGAGTCCCAGAGAGTCCCAGAGAGTTTCAGAGAGTTTCAGGGAGTTTCATAAACTTGCAAATAGTTCTAGAGAGTTTCCAGGGAGTCCTCACGAGATATGGGCACTTCACTTTTCCCATCCGCCTCCCACACACTGCACGCATCACACAGCCAGATGCCACAGCATCGCGACACACAGCATTGTGACACACCCTACCACCAACCGCACTCACCCCTACAGTCACCTCCCCCTGGCCTCCCCTTTTTTGAGTCGACTAAAAATTCACTCAAAGCTCGTCTCAGATTTCCCTCGTGACCTTTCCCTGCCTTCCGTCTCGCCGCCTGTCCCTGGCCCGCACTCCCCCTTGCCAGCAATCTGGCGCTGAATCCGAAGCTCACAGGCTACCTGCCGGACGCTCTTGGCAACCTCGCCCACCTCACGCTGCTGTGAGTGCCCACCTCACGCTGCTGTGAGTGCCCACCTCACGCTGCTGTGAGTGCTCTTACCAACACACCAACCGCACTGTAGCTTCCCTGCCCTCCTCCCTGACAGCATCTGATTCGGCCTACGCTGGTGCCTCCCCCTCCCAGTGTGTCCCCTCCCCGTGCGTCCCCTCCCCGTGCGCCCCCTCCCCGTGCGCCCTTTCCCTGCGCTCCTCCCCCTCCCCCCCAGCGACGTGCACGGGTGCGGGCTGACGGGGTCCATCCCGGCCACAGTGGGGCGGCTGGCGGGCCTCAAGTACTTTCTGCTCAACCAGAACCGCCTTGAGGGCTCCATCCCATCCACCGTCAGCGCGCTGCAGCAGCTCTACATGTGGGACGTCATGGATAACCGCATTGAAGGCACTGTTCCATCCTTCGTGGGTGCTAACCAGCTTGGACACCTGTGAGTGGGTGGGGGTGGGGGAGGGGGTGGGGGTGGGGGTCGGGGTGGTGGTGGGGGTGGGGGTGGCCCGGGTGGGTGACGGGGATGGAGGTTGGGGTGTGGGTGGGTTATGCATGTAGCGGTGAGCGCGCTGCAGCAGCTCTACATGTGGGACATCATGGATAACCGCATTCAAGGCGCCGTGCCCTCCTTTGTGGGCGCCAACCAGCTCGGGCACATGTGAGTGCGGTGCACCAGTGACTGGGGTGCGCGTGTGATTGGGGTATGCATGTAGCAGTGAGCTTGCTGCAGCAGCTGTACATGCATACACCAACACAACACCTATACGCTTGGATCAAACTTCAATGACACCCCATCTCCGTCGTCTAACCTGCCCCTGTTCCTTCTCTTCGTTGCATCCCTCTTCTCCCCATACGTCCCCATGCACCTCTCTTTATCATGCGCTTTCTCCCCCCTCCTCCCTCCTCTCGCCCACTTTTTTCCCCACTATCGCTCCCGCAGCCACATGAGTCGCAACCTGCTCACCTCAGTGCCGGCTCACATCAGCAGGCTGCCAAAATTAGAGCACCTGTGAGTGCCGCCACGCAGCAGCTTTTGAGTGTCAGACATGTGATAGCTTCCAGCACGCCCACTTACAGCACACACCAGTGCAGCCTTTCCCTCACCTCATGTGTTTCACACACCATCCAGTCCTTACGGGAGTACCAATTCTTAACATTCAAATGCAATCCTTTTCCCATCTCTTCGTCCCTCTCCAATCACCTCTCCCATCACCTCTCCCATCACCTCCCCCATCTCCTCCCCCATCTCCCCCATCTCCTCCCCCATCTCCCCCATTTCCTCCCCCATCTCCCCCATTTCCTCCCCCATCTCTTGTCCCCATCCCTCACTCCAACTCGCCATGCATCGTCTCCATGCATCATTGCCATGCATCATTGCCATGCATCATTGCCATGCATCATTGCCATGCATCATTGCCATCCATCATTGCCATGCATCATTGCCATCCATCATTGCCATGCACCATTTCCATGCATCATTGCCATCCATCATTGCCATGCATCATTGCCATCCATCATTGTCATGCATCATTGCCATGCATCATTGCCATGCACCATTGCCATGCATCATTGGCATGCACCATTGCCATGCACCATTGCCATGCACCATTGCCATGCATCATTGGCATGCATCATTGGCATGCATCATTGCCATGCATCATTGCCATGCACCATTGCCATGCATCATTGCCATCCATCATTGCCATGCATCATTGCCATCCATCATTGCCAGCCATGCATCATTGCCATGCACCATTGCCATGCATCATTGCCATCCATCATTGCCATGCATCATTGCCATCCATCATTGCCATGCATCATTGCCATGCATCATTGCCATGCATCATTACCATGCATCATTGCCATGCCATGCATCATTGCCATGCATCATTACCATGCATCATTGCCATGCCATGCATCATTGCCATGCATCATCCTGACACAGGCTGGTGGACAGCAACCGGCTGACCCATGCCATCCCAGAGGCCCTCAACAACACCAACCTCACCGTGATGTGAGTGCCACCAGCTCTCCCCTGCATTCCACGCTACCTCGTTCCAAGCATGTGTAACCTTACTGTACATCCGAGCCATGCACGGCTTGCCACAGTCAAGATTTCAAGACATTCCTCCCTGTGACCAACCCAGTCACGCCCTTGTGTATTCCTCTGTGCCCTCCCTCAATCCCCCACTGCCCCGCTTATCCACATACCAGCTACTGGAGTAACAACGTGCTGCCCAGCCTGCCCACCACGTGGTTCCTCCCACACCTCAAGGACTTGTGAGTGCTGCCCCTTGCTCATGAGAGTGCCGCCCCTCGCTCAAGGACTTGAGGGAGCAGGAATGAGAAGTGAGGGGAGGCGTGATGAGTGAGGGGAGGCGTGATGAGTGAGGGGAGGCGTGATGAGTGAGGGGAGGTGATGGCAAAATGTCTCCTAGGCTTGAAGATGGCCCAAATATTTGTGGTTCTTGTGTGTGTGTGTTTTTTTGTGTGTGTGTGTGTGTGTGTGTGTGTGTGTGTGTGTGTGTGTGTGTTTTTGTTTGTGTGTGTGTGTGTGTGTGTGTGTGTGTGTCTACATGCCCCTCTCTCCACGTGCACCAGCCTCGTCAGCAACTGTTCGCTACCACCCCAGCCGCTGCCATCCTTCCCGCTCTCTGCCGGCCTCGCCAACCTGTGAGCCCAACTCCCCTCATCCAATTCCTCTCATCCAACTCCTCTCATCCACCTCATCTCATCAACCTCCTCTCATCCACCTCCTCTCATGCACCTCCTCTCATCCTCCTCCTCTCATCCACCTCCTCTCATCCTCCTCTCATCCACCTCCTCTCATCTATTTCCTCTCATCCCACCTTCTCTTCCATCCTACCACCAGTGCTCTCATTTTCCTCTCCCACCTTCCATCCACACTACTCCCCACCTCAACCCTCCTCCCTCTGTGTTCCCCACCTGCAGCGACCTGAGCAGCAACAACTTCACAGGCGCCATCCCCTCAACGCTCTTCCAGCAAAACCCCAACCTCATCAACCTGTGAGCGACGCACTGTCTAACCACCCCCATGAACTCTTTGCACCGTTCTTCACCGTTTTGAAAGCGTTCTACGATCCCTGTTGTGCAGCCAGTGCTGCGTGGCCTTACCAAGTGCGTCGTGTGCAATGGGCGGCCGCGCTTCTGCTCCTTCCCCCTGCACCCCACCACCCCTCCACCCCACCCCACGCCCACCTGCCTGTGCAGCAATCTGGCGAACAACATGCTCACTGACCACCTGCCTCAGCTCGTCACCAATGCCACCCGACTGCAATCCCTGTGAGCCGCCACTCCCTGTCAACCACCACTCCCACAGTTCATGCCGGGGCATTTCCCCTTGCTCCTCCCATTCCTTTTCTGTATCATTTCCTCGCATGTGCGTGTCTGTACCCCCACCTGTACCCCCACCTGTACCCCCACCTGTACCCCCACCTGTACCCCCGCTTAAGCCTGCGCCTCCCTGGTTCCATGTACCTGGCAGAGAGTTCACCTGACCTCACTTGGCATGCCACGACCGCACTTCTCCCCACCTCTTCCAAACTCTGCCTACCCCTGTTCACCCCTGTGCACCCCTCTCCACCCCTGTCCACCTCTCCCCGCACGGCAGCTTTCTAGCGGACAACAACCTGACGGGCGCCATTCCCGACATGTCGGGGCTGACGAGCCTGGTGGCGCTCTCCCTCTTCGACAACGACTTCACTGCCGTGCCGCCCCGCCTGCTCAACCACACCAACGTCACTCTGCAGTGAGTGCCGTGCAGTTCGGTGCAGTGAGTGTGGTGCAGTTCGGTCCAGTGAGTGTGGTGACTGCAGTGCAGTGAGTGCAGTGCGGTGAAATGGTGTGAGTGCAGTGAGTGCAGCAGATAAAGGGCGCAGTGATGTGAGTGCGCTAATCCCTGGGCACCAACGAGCGCTGCAGAGCAACATGAGTGCATCGGCACTGGGGTTGTCATCACGGTTGGCAGTGACGTCATCACAGCCACTTCACACCTCACATGCTCTCTTCCTCTGCTCATCTCCTTTCTTCTTTCCCCCAACTATCCAGGCTGTACGGCAATGACCTGTGCAAGCCCTTCCGCATGGAGATCGCGCAGCAGTGCTCTCCGCCGCGCCCGCTCACGCAGTTCACGGCGCAAGCCATCTGCCCGCAGCTCGCGTGCGACAGCGACCTCTACCGCGCCAGCCAGCCGCTCTTCCTGGCCAGCAGCGAGTGCGTGTGCGTGTCACCGCTGCGCACCGACCTGGGGCTCTACCTCACGGACCTTGTGGTGTTCACGGCGGACCTCGTCGCGAGCCTGGAGGAGCGGCTGTATGCGCAGCTCACCAGCCGGGCACACATCAACATCACCCGCGACCAGGTGCGCTGCGCTCCATGGCACTTACAGCTGGCATGGTCCCCTGTGCGTAAAGTTAAGAAGGCATATTCTTATGTGGATCGCACAACCATCACCTACCAGAACGAAACTGTAGCCCTCTCACCTTCCAGTGCGCCATCTACGATCTCCTCCTCACTTGAGGCCTGTCAAGCCACTAACGCTCACTTGGCATGCACTGGGACTCGAACTCGAGACCTTTGAATCTGATACCACTTGTAGGCCCAGCCTGCTACAGACTGATCACAATCCTAGTGCTCCACCAACACATGCCACCCCTCACAGCGCTTCCCACCCCTCATTCCTCCTCCCACCTTCCAAACCCTCATGTCCCATCCCTCCCCTCCCACCCCACAGGTGCAAGTGACGGGCATCAGCAGCCGCGCTTCCCTCGCCTCACTGGCGTCAACATTCGCGTCGGACCACACCACACACGAGTCCACGCTCATCATCACCGCTCTCTTCTTCCCGCCCGCCGGTGACGACTCCTGGCTGCCAAGCGACACGCCACGAGCCATCCGTGCTGCCCTGTCCACGCGCGACCCATGGCTGCGCGTCAGCCTGGACGAGTTTGGATCTTATCGTGTTGAGGCTTTCTACGGCCCCGCTCGTGCGTCTTGGGGGGGGGTCGGGGGGGTGGGGGAGAAGGGAGGGGGGTGGGGGAGAAGGGAGGGGGGTGGGGGAGAAGGGAGGGGGGTGGGGGAGAAGGGAGGGGGGTGGGGGAGAAGGGAGGGGGGTGGGGGAGAAGGGAGGGGTGGCAAAGTAGGGATGTGGGTGGAAAGAAGGGAGGGGGTTGGGGAAGAAGGAAGGGGGTTGGGGAATAAGGGAGGGGAGTGGGGAAGAGGCGAGGGGGGTGGGGAAGAAGGGGGAGGGGTGGATCACGGAATTCTGAAGGAAGCCATTGGACGCTGTTCCGTGCTACCATCTCTTGGGTTGTGTGATGAAACCGGTGTATGGCTGCGCATATAGCATACTGTTTTGATAGACGGGTGTGATTGTACGGTGTGCCAATGCACACATAACACATCTCCAAGGCCTCTCGGCCACAGCCCCAGTGCCTCTCTTCCCACCCGCACCCACTCGTGTGTGCCGCCCTTCATACATTCTCGCTTCCATCCACTCGCCCTCGTTCCACCCGTCTTTCCTACAAACCATACTCTCCCTGCCTGCTTTCTCCCGCCATCCTTCATCTGCGTCCCTCCACTTCCCCCTCCTCTTTCCCCCCATCCCCACCCCAAACACCACCGTACAGCCTACACCCCTCCTAACCAGCCCTCATCGGGGCTGAGCACGTGGTCATTGCTGTGTTCTGTGCCTCCATCGCCTCAATATTCCCCTCCCCCCGCCCACACCACACCACACCACATCCCGCAGCGTACACGCCCCCCGAGCAGCCGTCATCGGGGCTGAGCACTGGAGCCATCGTGGCCATTGCTGTGTGCGGCGCCACTCTTGTCATCACTCTCGTGCTCGTGCTGCTCTTCCGCCCCTGGGAGAAGCGAGGTGAGCGAGCAACGGAGAAAGGCAGCGGCAATGAGCAGGGAGGGAGAAGTAGACGTGTTGAAAAGTCGCTCATGGTGTTGGTGGTGGTACAAGGGGAGTGTGAGGCACGCAGGGGAGTCTGAGACCTTCCATTGATGCTGCCATTCATTTAGGGGAGGAGCCTGGCACGTGGCACGTGGCACGTGGCAGGTAGAGAAGCACCTTCAGGGAATGACCTTGGGATGACCTCGTTGCTTGCTCCACACATGACTGCCCCGCTGCACCTCTGCTCACCTCCCTTAGGCATCACCCTCCTCCTCTCGTCATCATCCTCAATGCACCGCCCTCCCCCACCCACCACCTTCCCCCACCAACCGCCCTTCCCCCCTGTGAGGGCGCGCGGGTGGAGCCATGCAGACTACGAGGCGTTGGAGGGCATCACCCTGCAGCACGCTCGCTGGCCTCCCCACCCTCCATCCACCACCCCCCTTCCATCCCCGTTGCACCCCCCTCCTTCCTTCCCGCACTCAACGCCCAACACCAGGGTGGAGCCACGCGGACTACGAGGCGCTGGAGGGCATCAACCTGGGGCACGCGCGGCGCTACTCACTGCAGCAGCTGCACGACGCCACCAATGGCTTTGACGACCAGCTGCTGCTCGGGCAGGGCGGATTCGGCAAGGTATGGCTGGAGCTGAGCGGATGCTCTTGGAAGTGGACACAAGAATGGCCCGAAGTGGTCTCCTCAAAGGCTACAGGTGTCGTCCGAGGGGGGTATGGGTGTTGCTGACCCACAATAAGAAACATGCCCTTTTACACTTGTTGGTTAGCGAACTGGAGCTATCCCTGCATGGTATGGTGAGCGTGAAGGGACGTGGGTTCGATTCCTAATGTCATCGACTTCTTGTGCCCTAGCAGTGGGCCCTCCCAGTGAGAGGAGTGTTAGAAGTCGACATTGGAATGGCCCGAAGTGGTCTTCCCAAAGGCTACAGGTGTCGTCCTAGGGGGGTATGGTTGTTGCTGACCCACAAAACGAAACATGCCCTTTTACACTTGTTGGTTAGCGAACTGGAGCTATTCCTTTAGATGTGGCAATCCATGGGATGTGTTGGTGATGGCTATGAGAATTGCACGAAAGCATGTGGGTGAGGATTGAAGGCGTCTTCTGTCGCGTATGATGTAGTGGCGGGCTCCAATCCCGTCTCCTTTACATTGCATGAGCAGCGCCCGCACCAAATCTATGAGGATCAACCCCCCTCCTCCCCCCTTTGTCCCCCTCAGGTGTACAGAGGGGAGCTGAACGGTGAGGCAGTGGCGATAAAGAAGGCGACGGAGAAGCGCCGGCATGACGGGGCGGACTTCAAGAACGAGATCGAGCTGCTCACAGCGGTGTCGCACAGCAACCTCGTGCGGCTCACGGGGTTCTGCGTGGAGAATGACGAGCAGCTGCTGGTGTTTGAGTTCATGGAGGGGGGCGCGCTGGATGCCTGGATCAAAGGTGGGTGGGCTGACACCAGATGCAGTGCGGTTGTGTGCGGTGGCATCAGATGTTGTGGGCTTGCAGGTGTTGGAATTTATGGAGGGCGGGGCGCTGGATGGCTTGATGAAGGTGTGACTGGCGTCACAAATGGTGCTGTTTGCTGAGGTCGCTCGTGTTTGAATCCACGGGGGAGCCCACTGGACGCGCCGGGCGCGTTTAAGGGTGTGCTTGCGAGTTGGGAATCTAAAAGGCACTGCAGAAGCGGATTTCGCACGTACTCTTGAGCATCTATGCTCTTGCTCTGTACACGCAACCAGATTGGGCCCCAACCCAACCCCCCAAACCCCACCCCCCAAACCCCACCCCCCAAACCCCACCCCCCAAACCCCACCCCCCCAACCCCACCCCCCCAACCACCCCACTTGCATGCGCCATCCCATGATGGTACCTTCTTCAACGTCTGATTTCTTGCAACGTCCATTTGCTTTCTGTCTCATCCAATCCCGCGCCACCTACTCGCTCTGCTAACGTGGCGGCAGGCAAGATGGGTCGCATGCTGACGTGGCGGGAGCGGATGCGCATTGCGCTGAACGCGGCGAGTGCGCTGCACTACCTGCACCGCGAGATGCGGCCTGCCATCGTGCACCACGACATCAAGGTGAGACGGACCGTGCCTTAGTCTTCCTACCATACATGAAGTATGCCTATGCTTGCTCCTGCACTGCGGCATCCAGCTGGGTCGGGCCATGCCTTAATCTTCATACCAAGAATGAGGTATGGTGACGTTTCTAATCTCTATTTATCCTACCCATACCGGAACGATTTCATATGAGGCTCACTCAATGTTAATCCTCCCTCACCGCTTTTTCCGTGCCCTCCCGCCCCCTCCTGCTGCGGCATGGCACCTGCAGACAGCAGCACTGGAGGCCAGGGAGGCGGATTTTAGCACGTCAAGGAGGCTCACTCGCTGTTGCACCACCCTCCCACCCCCCTCCCGCCCAACCCCCCACGGCAGCCGCCAAACATCCTGCTGACAGCAGCGCTGGAGGCGAAGGTGGCGGACTTCGGCACGTCCAAGTCCATGCCTGAGCGGGGCGAGCTCATGCCCGATGAGATCGTGGGCAGCATGGTGAGATGTTGTGTGGTGCAGTGCGGTGAGGTCATGGGCAGCCGGGTGAGATGCCATGCGGTGCAGTGCGGTGAGGTCATGGGAAGGCAGGTAAGATGCCATGCGGTGCAGTGCAGTGAGGTCATGGGCAGCCGGGTGAGATGCCATGCCATGTGGTCATGATGCCATGTGCCATTCAGTTGAACTGACAAATCGCAGCGACCTCTAAGGTGGCTCACAAGTCCCCACTCCCATCCCTCCATCCATCCACTCCCCCCATTTCTCCCTCTCCCCCCTCCCCTCAGGGCTACATCGACCCCTACTTCGTGCATTCAGGCGTGTTGACGGAGAGCAGTGACGTGTACAGCTTCGGCGTGGTGCTGCTGCAGCTGGCCACGGGGCAGCCAGCGCTCATCCAGCACGTGCCGCTCAGCCAGGTCGTGCACCACCTCGTCTTCGGCCCACACGGCCTCGCCTCCGTTGTCGACCCGCGCCTCCACGTCGCCCTCCTCGCCACCACCGCCGCCGCTGCTGATGGCGCCGATGCTGCTGCTGCTGCTGGGGGTGTAGTTGCTGCGGGTGTGGTTGGAGGCGGTGCGGGGGAGTGGGAGGAAGGGGGAGTGAGTGCGGGGGAGATGGTGGCGGGGCTGGAGGAGACGTTCAGCACGTTCCTGCGCATCGCGCTGTGGTGCACCGCGCAGCACCCCACGCTTCGTCCCGACATGGAGCAGGTGGTGTCGGCACTGCGCAGCATCCGGGACCAGCTGGGGATGGCTGGTGCTGGCAGCAGCAGGAGCCCGCGTGGGACCCCCAGTGGGTTCACCACGCCCTCGTCGTTCCACGGGTCGCTGCCTCCCCTTGACGCCAGCGCATTCAGCAGCCCCAGCGTGACGGAGGAGCAGAGCATGAGCGGCACACAGGAGTACACGTGGAGCGATTACAGCGTCTCACACGGGCCTGCTTCTCATCCCGGCTATCCCCCTGCTACCTCTGCTGCTGGTGGTGGCGGTGGTGAAGCATCACCAGGGGCCCACAGGCAGCAAGCGGCGCAGCAGCAGCAGCAGCAGCAGCAGCAGCAGCAGGGTACGGCACGAGGGGCGGGTGGATTGGCTCCCTTGTGGGGCCCTGGGCTTGTCGGTGGGGTGCACCCCCCTCCATCCAGTGCCGCCCAGGGGGGTGGAGCGATAGGAAGGGGGTACGCTGGGGGCGTGTCTGGTGCAGGAGGTGGAGTCACAGACGAGGAACAAGGGCACACTGACACGATGACAGGGCCGCGAGCTCGGTAGCGTGCAAGAAATTGGATTGAAATACGAATGGAGGGATTGGGGACTTGGGGTAATAAACCGGGAGTACTTGGGGTTGGAGCGATCCCGTCTTGTCTCCACCGCCTCGCCTACCTGTGCCTGGCACAGTCAAGCACTTCTCCCATCCTCCATGCTCAATTTCCACTCGCGGGTTCATCACCATCTCTTCATCATTGGGTACTACAGTAATGCCCCACATAGATTACCCCCCAGATTGAACACCAACTGGGTATATGGTTGCGCAATGATTTGTATCTCATGTTCGCCCAGCTATAAAACTCCTCTGATTTATTGTATTGCTTAGAACATCCCCTCCCTGACAATTTGAGATGGAGATGTGGAGTCACAGCCAGGGCTATGCCTGAATCCTAAGCATCCTCCGGAGAGGAGTGTGAGTGAACTAGGCAGCATGAGATAATGTTCAACTATGAAACTTAAGGTGTTGTACCCACTACAATGTCCTTCATTGTAGCCTAACAACCGAACACAATTATAAATATAGTTTAACACACAACCATAGGCTAAGTGAGGGGCATCAAAACAAACAAGGCACACAGAATGGGCATAAGACAATCAAGTGAAGTAACAGCAAAAATCTCAGGATGGATCACGAACTCACACACAGTCTAAGAGCAAGCAAGGGGCCACAAGGTCAGTTCAAGAGTTCACATATATATATAAATAGCAAGACTGACAGAGCAAGAAACAAGAGGCAAGTCTACAACAACCGAGGGTCTGCATCAACAAGGCCTAGCTACAGACAAGTTCTGTGGTCATCACCAGGCGGAAGGGCCTTTGTGAGGATGTCTGCAATGTTGGCAACAGAGGCAATAAAGTCCAAGCATGCCTGGCCGCGTCGCTGCAACTCTCGAAGTAGAAAGTACCTCACATCGATGTGCTTCACTCTTCCCTCCAGTCAAGGCTCTTGACACTGGAGGACCGTGGCCTTGTTGTCGGCGAATAAGGTCGGTGCGGAGCGAGGCCACTCACCAAGGTCGGTGTCGGTGAGCAAGAAGGTCAATCATCGAAGCTCCTGCGCAGTCATGGCACTGGCATAGATATCTGACCCAGCGCTAGACTGCGCCACAAAGCGACAAAGCGAGCCAAGACGTTGAGAGGAGAAACGAGGTATCGACGAGTACAGCTTATCAGGTACATGAGGCAGCCCACAAGTTCTGCGTAGGGTCCATTGGACTCAAACGGCTCGTCGGAAAGAGGAGCGGTGAGTCCGTGGTCAACGGTAAGAGGAGTGGGCTGTGTGGTAGAGAAATGAAGCCCGAACTGATGAAATACCTGCTACACAATGTGTGACTGAGTGAGTGTGATGGTGCGAGTGGCTCTGTCCCTGGTGAACTTGAAGCCAAGGTATCGGCGCATTTCACCAAGTTCAGTGCACGTGTGACTCTTCTGCAGTTCAGACTTCACGAAAGCCAGAGCAACCTTGTCTGTTGTAGCAAATACCAAATCGTCGACGTAGATGAGGACAAAGAAGTGAGTGGAGCTAGAGCGAACGAACAGCGATGGGTCGGTGGACGAAGAACTGAAACCGAGGTCAGCAAGTGTGGAGCGAAGAGTGTTGCGCCAGTGTGGAGAAAGCCAGTTGAGAAGTCCATTGCATGAAGTAACAACCGAAGAGTTGTCATTTTCGGGGTCGGTGAGAAGGTATGGAAGAATTCGACTCCCTCACACTGACTAAAACCCCTAACCACGTAGAGCGCCTTGAATACCGGTATATGTGGCGATCCAGGCGGCCGCTTCACCTTGAAGATCCACATGCCATAGACTACATTCGCCTTGGAAAAGGAAATTACGTCAAGGTAAGTGCGTGGATCTTCAAGACGCCATCTTCGAGTCCATGGTCGCCATCTACTAGGAGGCTCACTGCGCTGACACTATCTCAAGGTACGTGCAAGGAGTCGGTATGTCAAGGGCGTCGGGGTCTCCCTCAGGGGCTAGCAACATGTCATAGAGATGGAGTGAAGTGACTCCCAAGAACACCAGCTCAAACTGCCTTTCCTCTATGACGTCACAGCCAAGGGCAGACTCATCACTTGCAGACAGAGGATGGGCAGCCACCACACGGGTGTAGTCAAGGCGCCGGGTGGCGGCAAAGCCGGAGACAGCAGCAACAAGAACCGAGACAGACGATGGAGGGGCGGTAGTGTCCGTGACAATAGAGACGAGAACACGTGAGACAACAGGACTAGCAGTGCGGTGGTTGTCAGTGATAGGGTGCGAGGAGGCTGTCATGGACGACGCAGGAGGTGACAGCAGAACAGACTGAGGCGGAGAACGAGGACTGGAACGAAGAAAGACAAAGCGGAGGTCGTCAAAAAGAGACGGGGGAATAGCTGGTATTTTTTTGTGGCCTTCAGACATTTTTCAAAGTGAATTGGGAATAGTTGGATTTTCTTTTTCTTTTTCAACGAGGATTGGTGGTCAATTTTTCCAAATGCATGTGCTAATTTGGCATCACTTATGGAATCAACACTTCACCACACTCGCATCAAGCAACAGCACGGGCACTAAAGCACACACACACATGTAGCTTGTCTGCATAGACGTAGCAGAGCTGTAACAACAGTGTTGTGTCAAACTATATATATATATATGCTGTAGTATAATCTGTAGGCTGTGGTGGGGTAGCCCATATGGGGTACAACCCAATGTTAGGGTTTCTATTTGTACCCAAGCTTCCTCATAGTTCATCATTCCTGCTAGTTCATTCTGGCATGGTTTCAGAGCAATAGGTCCGTAGGACCGTGTCTTTTTTTTCCGAGCTCACCGATCGCTTGTTACCGCGCTACCCCACGTGTTGACCTGCGCTGCACCGCCTGCACGCGCCTTGCCCTGCTTGCCTTGTGACGTGCTGCGCTGCGCGCGCCATCCTGCTGCCCCGCACGCTGCCCTCTCAGCTCGAGCGCTGCCCGCTGCTGCCTCGCGCGCTGCCCTAGCTACGCGCGCGCCGCCCTAGCAGCTTGCGCACCGCCCGCTGCTGCCCCGCGAGTCGCCCCGGCAGCCCTCACGCTGCCCGCTGTTGCCCCGCGCGCCACCCCGGCAGCCCTCGCGCTGCCCGCTGGTGCCCCGCGCGCCGCCCAGGCAGCCCTTGCGGTGCCCGCTGCTGCCCGGCGCGCCGCCCCAGCCGCTCGCGCGCCGCCCCTGTAGCCTCCGCGCTGCTCGCTGCTGCCCCGCGCGCGCCGCCTTAACCGCCCGTGCACCACCCCAGCAGCCTGTGCGCGCCTCGCGGCTGCCCTGCGCGCTGCCCTAGCCACTTGCGCGCCGCCCCAGCAGCTCGTGCGCCGCCTCGGCGGCTGCCCAGCAGCCTTTGCTGCCCCGTGCGCCGCCACTGCAGCCCTGCGCGCAGCTTCTCCCGGTTTGCTCTCTGCCCTGTAGCCCGCGCGCTGCCCTTTGCCGCCCGCACGCTGCCCTTACCTGCGCTGCGATCATGGCGACTCTCAACGTCCTCACATTTGAGCCTGACGGTCGCCGGATAGAATTTGCCACTTGGCTCGACGACCTGCAACTGTTCCTTATGACCGATGCCAAAGACGGCGTTTCCCTGTACGATCACGCGCCTGGCTCCTCCGTTGCTCCTGATGACACCGCTGATGCTCTCGCTCGCTCAAAATGGCAGACCCGTGATGCTGCTGCGCGCCTCGCTATTCGTAATCATTTGCCCGATCACTGAGCGCGCGCACTTTAGCCAGCACAAGACAGCCAAGGCACTGTACACTGCCGTTGTCGCCCGCAACTCTTCCCCAGTCACTGCAGCCCTAGGTCATCTTCTCCTACCCTACCTGTTCCCCGACCTGTCCTCGTTTACCACCGCTGAGGACCTCATCTCTCACCTCCGCGCTAGTGACGCTCGCTTTCGTGCCGCCCTTCCAGACGAGTTCCTCGCCAAGTACCCCCCCCCCCCGATGTACTTTACTCTCTACTTCCTCGTCACCCGCCTCCCTGACACTCTTCGCTCAGTCAGGGACCACTTTCTCGCCCTAGACCCTACCACTCTCACTGTCGCCGACTTCGAGAAGCACCTCCTAGCAGCCGAAAAGAACATTCTCGCTGTAGGTGCTGCTCGTGGCACTCCTCGCACTCCCCTCTTTGAGGGGTGCTCCCCCTCCCCTCTTGCCCCCTCCTACGCCTCTGCTGCTGCTGCTGTCGACTTCCTTGGTGCTGAGGAGGTTGGGGCTGCTTCCGCTCCTAGTGGGAAGCGCCGCAGCGCCAGGGGCAGCAGGGGTGGCAGGGGTGGTGGAGGTGGCGGTGGAGGGGGCGGTGGTGGAGGCGGCGGGGGAGGTGGAGGTGGTGGGGGTGGTCGTGGGGGTGGAGGTGGTGGTGAGGGCGGCGGTGGTACCGGGAGCGGTGGAGGTGGCAGCGGCGGTAGTGGGGGAGGAGGGAGCGGTGGTGGCAGCGGTGGTGGGGGCTGGAGTGGAACCGGCCAGAAGGGGGGCTCCAGTGGTGGCCAGGGGCAGCAGCAGCAGCAGCAGCAGCAGCAGCAGCAGCGTCAGCGCCAGACCCCCACGTCTCAGCAGCTTCATGACTGGTACGCTCAGCGTGGGGCGTCTGGGGGTCCTGGTCGCTGCCCCTATATCATTCGCACAGGTCCCCGCGCTGGTCACCCATGCGGCAAGTTTCACATTGAGTACCGCTGCTTCTCTCGGCTTAGCGACGCCTGGCGCGCCAAGTTTCCTGAGGCTACTGAGTTCCCCCCCGGGCTGACCTGCTTAGGAGTGATGTTCCTATCTTTGATCTTGACTATGATGCAATTCTTGCTGCCATGTATGCATTGACTGTTAGTGCTGAGGGTGACTGCTACTTGTGTATGCCGCCTGACCCAGGTATAGAGACTGCAGCCCTAGGTGCTAGTGAGTCTGCTCTCCCTGGTACTGCGTCGGCTCAGGCCTTGCACACCTTTATACTTGATTCTGGTGCTTCCCGCTGTTTCTTTCGCGACAGTACCACAGTCACTCCCCTCCCTGCAC